CAAAACAGCTAATGATTGGCCCTTGCTGAAATTGAAAGTGAAAGTTGCTGTTGCTCCACAAGGCAAATTGCTGGGAAGCAGATTTTTTTTCTTGTGCTAATCAGACTGTTTGCTGCAAGGAGGTAAGTCAATAACTATAAACGTCTATAGAGTGTTCAAATGATTAGACTTATTTTTTAAAGACTGCTTTATTATTGTTCTAGACAGCTTAACAAAATGAAGGGGAAGAAGGAGCTTTTAAAAATAAATGCTTGATCTAAAGACGCTGTGCTATTGTATCGTCTTTTAAATAGCAGAGAATAACTATACTTCCAGAAAGCACATCAATTTTAACAGCATCCATACAAGTATAGTTTGAAATGTACCACTATAAGCAGTGTATATTGTATGTACTGTTTGCTGTTTGTTGCAAGGAGGAAAATTGCTGGGAGGCAGAGGCAGATTTCCCCCTCTTGTTTTCCAAAAGCTAGGTGCGTCTTATACTTCAGAGCATCTTATACTCCGAAAAATACAGTAAATATAGACATTCCTATAATGATCTCTTATTAATGACATTCAATAAAAATTCCCTTATTTTTTTGACTTCAATAATAAGATAGTCACCATAACTATGATGGTCTATGGCCTCATTATCCCTAGCCACTGGTTATACTGGTTGGGACTTTGGAAGTTTCAATTCAATTATTTCTGGGAGCCACAGAGTGAGGGAGGTGGAGCAGTGGTGTACTGTAAAGCTCAGTATTATTTTTTTGTGGTTTATTTTTTAATATTTTGGAGGATCCTTTCCACCATCTCTTTTAAAGCAAATCTTCTCCAAAAAACACCCATAATTACAGGGCGCTAAGACCCACCGTGGAAAACATTAACCAAGAAGGATGTTCCAAGCCTTAAGATACCAAAAATGGCATCATTGCTACCTTACATTATCAGCAGGAAAAGCTAAAGTTTGTAAGAGAAGGATGAGATGACATTACAGCAACATTAACAGCGACAGACGGAGTTCATGCAGGTTGATAGTGTTAAAGTTTTAGCCAGGCATTGATTTTCACAAGAGGAGAAAAGACAGATAAATAATACCCAATGATACAGATATTTGAGATACGCAGAAGCAGTGATCCTGTGGGAGGAAAAATAAATATGTGCAGAATAAAAACTCATCCACTATGATGTGGTAGACCAGATCCAGTGCTTGACAAACAGGTGAGTGAGTGGTAGTTCAAGTGAGGGGATGCAGATTGTGGCTGCATCTCCAGTAATGGCTGTGCTACATGCAGTGAGTCATTTGAAGTGCTTGGATGCATCATGTAGGGAGGGGAGGACAATCCTAAGAGACCCATTTCCAGTCCTCAAAGAAAATCTTGAGAAGATCTGCAGAGCAGCAAAGACCCACAAGATTATGGATCAGAGAACAGAGGTGGTATTCAGCAGGTTCTGACCAGTTCTGGAGAACTNGAGAGATGAGAGATGAGAGAGAGAGAGAGAGAGAGAGAGAGAGAGAGCGCTGTGGCTCTTTGTCAGCTGAACCCATCACTGGCTGGCCCTGCCCCTCGCCCTCTCCTTCCAGTCACTCTTTGCATGGCCTGACATGAGAGATGAGATACAGATACAGATAGATAGATAGATAGATAGACAGACAGACAGACAGACAGACAGACTGACTGACTGACTGACTGACTGCTGTGGCTCCTTGTCAGCTGAACCCATCACTGGCTGGCCCTGCCTCTCGCTCTCTCCTTCCAGTCAGAGATCAGATACAGATACAGATACAGATACAGATACAGATACAGATACAGATACAGAGAGAGAGAGAGAGAGAGAGAGAGAGAGACTGAGAGACTGCTGTGGCTCCTTGTCAGCAGAACCCACCACTGGCTGGCCCTGCCCCTCGCCCTCTCCTTCCAGTCACTCCTTGTGTGGCCTGACAAGAGAGACAGAATGAGAGAGAGAGAGAGAGACAGAGAGATACCTGTTTCCCACAGAAAACACCGGGAGCCACAAAACCTGGGTAGTCATGGCTGGGTGGGATCATGTGAGTGGGTGGGAAAGAGTGACGTCAAGTTGGCCACACAAGGGGTTACTGCCGGTTAGGCATGCCAAAACTTTTGCCCACCTCCTCTGTGAGACATGTTGTGACTTCTGTAGCTTTGGGAGAGTACATGGCCTGTCCTTGGCTGTTGTTAAGTGAATAGCTGCAATTATTAGGTGAGTAATACGGTTGTTAAGTGAATCCGGCTTCCCCATCGATATTTGCTTGTCGGAAGTTTGCTAACGTTGATTGCGTGACTCCGGGCCATTGCAACCGTCATAAATATGAGTCGATTGGCAAGGGTTTCAATTTTGATCAGGTGACCATGGGGATGCTGCAGCGGTCGTAAGTGTGAAAAGCGGCCACAAGTCAATTTTCCCAGTGGCGTTTGTAGCTTTGGAAGGTCACTAAATGAACTGTTGTAAGTCGAGGACTACCTTCTCCAGCTGTGGCCTTTGTTTTGCTTCAAGAATTCCGCCGAGCAGAACACTAGCAATAGCAGTTGGACTTATATACCGCTTCATAGGGCTTTCAGCCCTCTCTAACTGGTTTACAGAGTCAGCATATTGCCCCCAACAACAATCTGGGTTCTCATTTTACCCACCTCGGAAGGATGGAAGGCTGAATCAACCCTGAGCCGGTGAGATTTGAACAGCCGAACTGCAGAACTGCAGTCAGCTGAAGTAGCCTGCAGTGCTGCATTTAACCACTGCGCCACCTCGGCTCTCTAACAAAAGGTTGCATGTCGAATTAAAAAGAAAAAAAATCCAGCCCTTTTTTTGTGTCTTATTCCATGTATGAGAATCACCCCAGTTTGGCTGAAATTCGAACACAGATACAACGGGACACCATTGAATTATAACAAATTTTGCTTTAATGCAAAAAAAACAAAGCAGGCTTTCGATGCCGCACGTTTTACAACCATCTCCCTGTTTGTGTGACATTTTAGCTTAAATCGCTTGCAAATTAAAACTGGAAGGGTAATCGCCTTGCACAGATAAACACAGAAACAAGCCGGAGCATAAAGAAAACAAAAACCACAAATGCAACCGAGTATTTTTTCCCCCCCTATCATGACATATTACTGATATTCATCACGGTGTTCGTCATTGGGAACAAAACTGCACGAGTCAGGAAGAAAGATCAGCTCCCCTAGGCCAAAGTCGGATTCTCCCAACGGCCCCGTTTTCTTCTTAGAAAATTACAGGCGTCAAAGATTAAAAAAAAAACAGCGGAGTAACGGACTCGCAGCTTAGCTGTTCTCCTGTAACGTCACCGTCTCCTGTCTTCTGGGTTAAACGTGTTGCCTATAAACACACAAAAGATTTCTGCACAAGGTATGAACGTTTGCAATGTAATAAAACGAAGGCTGCCTTCAGAGAGCCCCACGGCTGCGCTCGGTTACACCGGAAGGGCCGAGGCAGGCTGGCGTGCTAGTAACGGCCGTACCGCGGCTCCTGGAAGTAGGACCCGTAGCCGCGCTGCGGCCAGCCATGTTGAGGGTAGGACGGCTGTCCGTGATGGTGCTGCTGGTAGTTACTGCCGTAGCCTTTTTCGTGCCACTGCTCAGATCTGTAGCCCCCCGAGTGGTCGTATCGGGGTCCCCTGTTTCGGAATTGACGGCTATCTCTGAATCTGCAAAAAGGGAAACACGGCACGGTGATGTCAGAGCTGGAAGCCATATTTACCTTTGGGACTTCGGGCCTGCCATATTTACCACTGTGGGAAAATGGGAGTGGGGATTCTACAGAGTGTGGGTGATATATACCGTATTTTTCAGAGTATAAGACGCACTCTTTTCCCCCTCAAAAAGGGTGAAAATCTGGGTGCGTCTTATACACAGAATACAGCATTTTTGGCTTCCCGAAACCCCGCCCCCTTTGCAAAAATGGTCACGGATAAACTTTAGAAGGCTTTCAAAGAGCTCCTGGGGGCTGGGGAGGGCAGAAATGAGTGAAAAACGCTTGTTTTTGCCCCCCCAACTCCTAGGTGCACTCTCTAAGCCTCCTAAAGGCTACGCCTGCCCTTTTTTTGGACAAAAAATGGGCCTGTTTTGGGGAGATCTGCTCTTTCCAAGCCCTAAGCATTTAAAAAAAAAAAAAAAACCTGATTGAAGTAAGCCCTGTTTTAACCNTGGCGGTGGCGGTGGCGGTGGCGGCCGAGGATGGGCCGGCCCGCGGGACGCCCCGAGCGCCTGTGCCGAGGGCTGCTGGCGCTGCTGCTGGCGCTGGGCCGCCTGGCGCCGCCGTTGCTGGCCAAGAGCCTGGAGCCGGTCTCCTGGAGCGCCGCCAACGCCAAGTAGGTGCCCGGACGGGGCGGGATGGAGGGGGGACAAAGGGGATGCGGGGAATGGGGGGGATGCTCGCTCGCGGGCACTCCGGACACTGGAGCTGGAAGCGGGGGACACGAGACTCTCGATCCGGGGGGAGCCGAGGCGCCTTCGGGGCACGTCCATCCAGCCGTCGCCCAGTCCGGCCCCGCCCGACCTTCGGCGGCCCCGCAGCTGCCTCGGTCGGTCCCCGGGGGAAAATAGCGCTGCCGAAAATAACTCCTGCGTTGAGGCCGTCTTTCCCCGCCGACCCACGGCCAGGCGGCGGCTGCCAGGAGTCGCCCCGGAGAGGGTCGGCGGCCGCTCCCTGCCTCCCGAGTTCCCCGGGGGTCGGCGGCGGCGGCCTTCGTGCCTGCCGAGCGCGAACCGGGCGGGGGATTGAAAGTATCCCCCTTGCCGGGGGTGGGTGTGGGTGTCCCCCGGCCTCTTTGTGGGAAGAGCGGCCGGCAAATCCCTCCAGAGCCGAAATCCCCGCCCTGAAAGGCGTTTTAGGTTTCTCTGGTTCCCGGGAGCCGCGTTTCATTGCTCCCAGGGGACTTTTCCAGGAGGAGCGCAGCGCTGGTTCCCGGACAGAGCCCTCCGGTGCCCCCAGTGCGAATTCTGCCATCGGGCCCCTCTGGAAGCTGCCGGCGAGAGCTGCGTTTCTAGCCCGCCTTTCTAGGAAAGTTGTTCTGCGGGATAAAAAAAAGCTCCCTTCGGATTCATTCGGCATTAATTCGGCATTAATTCCTGAGCCTCCGTCTTTCTGAGGTGCGATTTCCACGTCCACGGTCCCGAACTTATGAAAAACCTGAAATGTAGAGAGGAATGGGACGGATTGGGTGGGGGTGGGCGGGCATTGAGCCAGATGCCATAGGTAACCCTTCCTTTAAAAGGGGTTTCCATTGCATAGTCCGGTCGGTGGAATTGCGGGGGTTTTACGGGATGAAATGCTCCGTATGAGGCGCGAGATCGTTTCCCTTGTAACTGGCAGATTGGCCGGGATGGTAGAAATCAGCGCAGTTCGCTTGGCGTTTGCATTTAGAGGCTCGGTTCTTCTTCTTTATGAAGCTGAACGTAGCAAGACCTTTTTTTAGGAATGGTTCCCCCCCCCCAATCAAATTTTTATTTTTTTATAACTTTTATACATATCAGTGTGTGAATGGTGTAAGTGGGTAATTTACATTTCACTACACGTAAATATGTTGTATTTTAGGAATGCGTTTTTAACGGGGGAAGAAAACTTTTACAAAAAGTTGGGTCTCTCCCAGTCGAGGCAAATCAGCCGCCGCTGCCCCTGGGGATCGAGCGCGGCGCGAAGCCTCCGATGGGAGAAGCGCCCATTGTTGCCCGTTGGCCCTTTTGGTTGTGAGCGAACTGTTGCCCGTTGGCCTCGCCTGCCGAGAGTCGCCTTGCAAGCGGAGCGGCTTTCTGGTTACGTCCCCCTCGCCTCCCTCCCTCCCTCCGGCGCTTCTGCGCTCCCTCCGCGAAAGATCAAAACGCTGATACGACGATAACTATTCCTCCCTCTCCGCTCCCAGTTAGGATCCCGCGTTTTAACCCCTTGCCGATCGACAGGGCTACTGGCGGCCGCCTCCTGGCGAGCCGAGAAAGAGAGAGAATGTTTCCAATGTTACCATGTTTCCAAACATTCCCAAACCTGTTTTCCCTTCGGTCGGCCTCCCTTGCCGGCTGATTGGCTGCGGGCGCATTCCAGCCATTGCCCCCCCCCCCTAACTCCCAAGGTAGGGCTGGTCAGTAAGCCAAGACCCCGGAGTTGCTGGGTCGCCGCCTTCGGTGGGTTTCACTCAGAGCCCCCTGGGTGGGTTGAGTGGGGAGGGCTTGGTCTTCCTAGCCTGACTTTCCCCTGATCACAAAGGAAGGGGGTGGGGAGGATAAGGGAGATCCCGCCGCGGTTGGTTTTTTTCAGGCCCCGAAGGGTCTCAGGACGGGGATTCTCTTCTTGGGCGGCCAGTTGGGCTGAGTCCTCTTCTTGGAGCTTGGCTGCCAGGATTTCAGCTGGGAGCTTCTTTCTTGAGTGGATCGCCCTTTGCCTGTAGGCCTTGCTAAAAAGAGGGCAAGGGTTTCCCCCTCCCTCTCTGCCGCCCCCTCCCTCCTGTTACAGAATGGGAAGGGGATTATCTGAACCAGGGCTCCCCAAACTTGGCAACTTTAAGATTTGTGGACTTCAACTCCAAGCTGGCTGGAGAATTCTTGGGGTTGAAGTCCACAAATCTTAAAATTGCCAAGTTTGGCTGGAGAATTCTGGGAGTTGAAGTTCACAAGTCTTAAAGTTGCCAAGTTTGAAGACCTTTTACCTAAACTCTCCTATCTTCCTAGGCTCCCCCATTCACCTGTCCTGGGGGGGGGGAGATCCAGCTGGGGTTCTTCTCCCCAAACCTTCCCTTCTCTAGCTCAGTTCTGTGAAAAGTCTAGAAAGAAGGCTGCTTCTGCTATTCCTAGCTAAAGCCCAGCTGGCAGAAGGGAACAATTATTGTACCCTTCCTGAAATGTCAGAGAGACGGCTGTGTAAACTTTAGTCTTATGCTAGGGGAAGGCCTGAATGGGAAATCCCCTGACGAGGGCCTTGAGTTTGTTGTGGGAAAAACAAAAACAAAAGAAAGCCATGTAATCAGCATCATCAATCCCGCTAAAAGATGATGTGGAACGTTAGCGCCTATTCCCTGGTTCTGTGCATCTTAAATACAGACCGATGGGAGCTGCCAAAGAGTTACAGCTATCACACTAGAAACAGCAAATCATCATAGTTGACTTGCTAACATTTGAAATGGGGGCATCTCTTTTTCCTTTGGAGGAAAGTCAAGGAGGAAGACTTTTGAGCAACAAGGGGCAACTTTTTCTGCTAATATCTTAATTTCCTGGGTCCCTTTTTCAGTTTTTCCTTTCTTGTTCTGTTCATCCTGTCTCGGGGACAGATTATGTAAAGGGGGCCACTGGGTCTGTTGCTTGCCAGCCTCTGGGCACCGAACCAGCTTCCCTTATAGCAGTGCGGGAGATCTGGGTAGCTAGTGGTGGCTTTGGGCTAGCTGAGCGGAGATGACGCATTCAAAGCGGCACCTCCAGTGCCAAGGAGAAGAAAAATGCCTGACCATGCATTAGTATGTGACTACCTTTGATGGGCATACCCTGTGCTGATAAGAGGTTGATGCATCATTGCTGTCTTTTTGGCAGGCCAGCGGGTGTGTGGACAACCAGTTCTCTGCTAAGGAACAACCAGCATCTTCCCAAACCTCCTTTCAGGCTGCTATGGTCAATGATCAGATTGCTACGATCATTTTGCTTCCAGGGTTGCCCAGATTTGTTCACGCCTTCTGGATAGGATCCAGGATGGTGGACTTACTTGGTTACCTGGATTTCCTTTGAGCTGTGATTTAAGAAAGTGATTTGAAGGCTCTCCTAAGATTTCCCCTGCAGACTGGATCTCTATTTCTCTCAGCTTCTGGTGGAGGGGCAAGTGTTTAGATAACTATCTCCTGGTCTCCAACCTTCCTCTGAAGCCTGGATATGTAGGAGAGATGGCCTTGGTGGAGGGCATCGGCTGGGGCCCAGATCAGGAGAGTGGATCCCTCAAGGTCCTTATAAGAACACCCAGCAATGTTTGAACTTGGTATTCTTATGCGGCCACTTTGGTAATTGGGGCTCTGTATGGCTGTAATTCCAGTCCGTGCTCAGTGGCTCTTTTGTGGTTGTCTCCTCCAGTGGTGCCCCTTGCTGAGATGAAGGAGCTGATGTGTGACTTCATTCTGAACTCCTGGGTCCTTTTAGAGCAGCAGACGGGGGACTATAGGCAGTGGGAGGACTTTGCTGCAGTGACTCACACGCTTGGGCCTCCTGTTTAGACTTTGGCACAAAGAAGAGGGAATCAAGCTATTCTCCAAAGCATCAGAGGGCAGGAGAAGAAACAGTGGATGGAAACTGATCAAGGAGAGAAGCAACCTAGAACTAAGGAGGGATTTCCTGATGGTTAGGACAATTAACCAGTGGAACAGCTTGCTGTTGAAGTTGTGAATGCTTCAACATTGAAGAGTTTGGACAGCTATTTGTCTGGAACGGAATAGGGCTTCCTGTCTAGGCAGGGGGTTGGACTAGAAGACCTCCAAGGTCCCTTCCAACTCTGTTATTCCACTCTATTTTAGGGTGCTCTGGGTAGGACTGCGCCTTTGGAAATGACTCAGAGACTGCAGTTCATTCAGAATGCAATGGCTTGTATGCTAATGGAATTGGCATTTGCTGATAGGCGAATATTACACTGGTGCTGTGGACACTACCCTGCTTGCCAATAGTTTTCTGAATGAAACCCAAAGTGGTGTGTTTACCTATAAAACCTTCCATGGCTTGGTGCCAAGGAATCTTACAAGATTCAGTCCCATGAATTCTACCCTTGGAATTGATCCAGCCTGTTTGATTTACCTGGGAGAAGCTGCTGGCCCTGCTGCACTTTAGGAAGGTGTGTGTATGTGTGTTACAGCTCAGTGACACTGTCTTCTTGGTGGGGGCTTCACTCCTTTGGACAGCCAGTTGCGTTCTGGAAGCAGCTCAAAATTGAGCTGTCCTGGAGGATGTTAGGGTCATGATTGCATCTTGGTTGGATTACCTGTAGTTTGTTCATTCTGTTTTTGATGGGTTTCTGGGCTTTTTAATTTTTTTTAATCATACATTGTTTATTGTGCATCTTTTTCTTGTAAGTCCTTAGAGATTGCAATTGTCTATACATGAAATAAATCAATCTTACGACCATAAAATATATGTTGAATGTTTTCCTTAAAAACTAAGACCATTGACTTGTTAGAAACAAATACTCCAATTCTTTACTGAAGAGCTTATTTAATTTGTAATCATTCCCACTATATTTTTTTTAGTTCATAAACATCTATTTTTTAAAATTGTAAATGTTTTGCATTCCAAATCATTGGAGTTTTCTCTAGCTGACAGCGCATCACTCCAAAGTGAAAATACATTAAATGTTTTA